GAGAGAATACTTTTTTCCCCTCAAAGGAAGTGTAGAAAGAAAAGCAGCCTAGAAATAAAACTAAGACAAATCTGGTTATCTCATTTATCAATTCATCAAACTTTGTTGAAAGTCAATTTTAATCTTTTTGGCAGGTTTACTCTTTTGAGATTGTGCTCATTTAAAAAATATGGTGGCTTTTCCCTGGGTGTACTCCCATATGCACAGCGAATTCCTACAAGTATCAAATGTGAGAGGAGTTGTGTATGAATTGGGATGAAAGTAATTCTGTACCACTGTCCTTACTTGGTCACAATTAACATGGAAAGTGATGTGATTTTATCAAACTACAAATTGCATGGTTGGCAACTGTAATTTTACGCAGGATTAGTGCTTCTGACATTGATGTGATTAGAGTCAGGGCTGTATTTATTTTCCTTCTGTCTTTGTATGAATTCCGCTTACTTTGCTCAAACCCAATCCTGCATTTCTGCTTAGAGAAAATTGATGGCAACAGCCCAAAACTTATGTCATATTGTGTATTAATAAATTATCGGTGTGCATGATGAAATAAAATAGCACCTTTTAATTTTAGCTTTACAAGAAATAACGTTAACGTACAGATAATTTTGCTTTTATTGTTAGGACATATCAGATATGCCACATAACTACTATGTTTAGTAGAACATACAAATGTGGAAAAATTTTATGAATTATTACAGCTAATTAACACAAGCCTTCTAGCAGTATTTTTCATGGTTTTATTTATGAAAGTTTCTTTGCATTTTTCTTTAAAGTGAATCCCCTATTTTTCATATCAAAAGATACTGAATCAACCTCTTGCTAATATAGCAAACACAAACATAATACGGTTCAACTGCGAAAAAGACCAGAAAAAGTTTTTCAAGACTGTCTTGAAGCTTTTTTGTATATGCACAAAAATGCACACAGTTTTTATATACTTACATACTTGAAATTAATTTTTTCAGTATTGCTTTTATAGCCCCTATACATATACAAGATGTATATGTATATGCTCATTTATGACGAGCATAGGCTGAGTAATATCCTGAAGCAGGTATTTTCTTTTCTTCCATTCTTATATCGATTATTCTTTTGTTAGAGATGATGAAACCTTTTTGTTCCCAGGCATATCAGCAATGATTAAGTCAATGCCTGACTCTTTTTTTTTTTTTTTTTAAAGGTAGGCAGAGGTTATCTTGTTTTGATTAATAAAAGCAGTGCCTGCTATTTAAAAATTTATCTGCTTCAACTGTTTATCAGAAGGATAAGCAAAGCTATCAATGCCAGCTTTAGACAACTTGCAAATGAATACTCAGGGTCCTCATTTTCTTCTACTAGTTAATGCTAAAACTTGATGTGGTAGAGCACAAACAATAATACCATTTACTGCAGCAGCAGCTAATTTTAGTGAGTATTTTATCCTGCCTTAACTCTTAACAAAATCTACTGTTATTTTGGCCTGAAATCAGTTCCATTCTGCAAATTGATCTGAGGACCTGGTCTTTCTTTGAAGTACAGAAAGATATGGTCTATTTTCTGAAGAACATAAAATGACAACACAAAGCTAGAGGGCTTGTAGATGAGACAGGTTAGGGAGTTTTATAGCAGAACGAGCGAAGTGCAGATCAGGTCCTGGCATGAAAAATTATAAAAGTCATAGACATGAAAAGAGACAAAAAAATAGTCTAGAAAAAAGACTAGCTTAGTACAGGCAAATAAAGAGAAAGAAAAAGGAGTAGACTTTTGTGCAGAGTGTAAATCAGGGAGGGTGGGAAGCTGAGAATCAGGATCCTGGATTTTCTGTGATAAAACACAGAAGACTGGAATGCAGAAAGATAAAAAATCAGAATCTGGAGAGGTGAAATATGTCAGCAACTAAGACTTGCAAAGATGTGAGTTATGGATGAATGAAATATTTATAGGTGTAGAAATAGTCAACAGAAATAAGTTGTATTTCAACTTCATCAGTATTTATATCCATACTTTAGTCATGACCTGTGAGCCTTTATAATTCTGTTTGGTCTGTGTGCCTCTCCTTGGATTGTCAGCTGCACTCTTGCTGCAGCAGCTTGTTCCATGGACTCTCACATTAAAGACACAGCACTTGTTTGGTTCTTCCAGTTTAATGGAGGATTGAGAAATGCTAGTTTGAAATTAATTTTTTTGAATCAGGAAGAGTTTTATTTATTTTCTATCTTCTTCCAAATCTAGCAATACCAGTGGCTGATCTTGTTTAGCCTGTGACTTGACTCACCTTGCCTTAGCTTCCACAAAAAGATTTTCTTTTTGATATCTTCATCTTTCTGTTAGAATGAAGCTGGCTTGTGAAGCCTTCGTTACGGAAGATCATGGTTTCATTAAAGGTAGTTACATAAAAAAATACATCCCTGCATTAGCTTTCTGCTGGATTTGATCAATGGGCAGCCAGTCTAGTGAAATAAAAATCAAATACGATATTCTTAGTAGTTTCTGGTGGTCTGGACATACACTGTGGAGCCACCTTCTTACCTCTGGTCACTGAGACAATGTGGAAGGTAGATCTGTTGAAAATGTGACTGTGTGCAGGTTTTGTAGTTGATATTGTAATGGGGAAGGTGAATTATTGAGAGTGCACCCCTAAATCTCATCAGCAAGCAGTGCATTGGGGAAGAGCTCATCTTCGCATTGTCCATACTACTTGTTGTCCTTGCTGTGTTACGTGATCACCTGCAGCCAAGCCATGATCTGAGCTGTCTGGTCCAACTGTCCTTTCCTGACCTCAGTGTCCTCTCCAGAGCCTGGATGCCACTGACAGCCTGTTAGCAACTGGGGTGTGTTAGTTGCCTCCTGGGAGTGCATCTTCTGGTGGAGTTTCACCTGAAAAGGATCCACTTTGTGTGCTCCAAGACTGTAAACTAACGCAGTAGGTGAGGATGTTTGGGAGTCATGCTTCGAAAGTGCGTTTGTGATCTAAAATGAGTTGAGAAGGTAGACACAGCCTGTACACCCTCGGTTTCAGCAGTGAGGCACAGGAGAGGCTTCTACAGGCTCTACTTTCTCTTCCTTCTCCTGTCCGGCAGGGCGCCTTGTATTTCCCGGGAAAGTCCTTGAGTGAGAAGAGCTGTCATGCATGGGGACCAGCGAGGCACTGTGACTTCTAGGGAGCAGATGGATAGTAGTGGATGTTGGCGTCATGCCTCCCGTATCTTCCTCTTTCTGAGATAACGCTGGTTGTGACAGTGAAAGTTCAGTCTGTATATGCAAAGCACTATGGAAATATACAATCCCTGTAATACAAAATGAACGTTATATTTTGCATTGTTTTTATTTTGGCATAAGCTTATGTTCTGTTGCAAAGTCAAGAACAATGCAAATGAGCTTTAAGAGCTTTTTCTTATTAAACTTTTCAGCATTGTCCCACAGAGATTGAAGTAGAAAACAGAATTGGAGTCTCATGTAGAATCAAAGCAAACAAGACTGAAAGGAAGCCCAGAAGCAAACTGTGCTTCACCTGCTCCACAAAACAGGATCAACATGTCAACATGGTGTTCTTAACTGTCTTTTCCCCCCCCCCTATCTTTCTTGCAGGAGTTTCAGTGACTGAGATTTCTTGATATCTGCAGATATTGTACAGCACTACTTCACTATCCTTGAAGTTACAGCTGTTCCCCACTATATAACCAGGATATTGCTTGTTACGTTTTTCCTTGCCGGTCTAGATAAAGAAACAATTACTCTTTGGCTCTTTCTGAAGCCTTTTATGTATTTCAAAATCTCTCCACAGGTTCTGTTAACCCAAAGGCTTTATTTAGGGCTGCTATAATTTATCTTTTGACTTTTAGTAGACTATATTAAAAAAGGCAATTTTCTGTCTTTTTAACTTCCCACTGGTTGACAATACAGTTTCTGTAAAATGAATGTAACAAGGGAAGCCTCATGTAGCATATTTTATGTTTATTATAAGAGAATGAATTTTAATAAGTCATTATGAACTTGGGGTTTTTTTAGAGAACAGAAAGGTTATTTGTTCCCTCTATGAAATAGGAGTTTATTGGTATAAAAAAGAAAAGTAAAAGATAATCTGGAGTGTACCTCCATTACATGTGCAAAAAACCTCTAAAGATGTTTTGTTAAGCAATGCAAAAAAATAAACTCCTTTTCCTATGAAATAAAAAGAGTACAGAGCATACTACTATGACTTTTTATGCATTTAAGTAATTCTTGAAAAATTACTGGTCAGAGAACCCATTTTAAACTTATCTAGTCAGAAGACTCATGCTCACTGTTTTGGAATCATTGTGTTGATGTTTCAGGCTTCCCACATGGTCTTACAAAGCTTGGCTTCTTCCTTCTTAGGAAAAGTTTTATTTTTCAAGGGACATCACTGCTAGGATATTATAAAACTACCATGAATGCTTTGTACTCCCAAATATATGCATTTTCCCAGAGGAATGAAAAAATGTTTTATAACTTTGGACTTTTAGTTTCACAATGCAGTGAGCTCAGGTAAACTGTATCTTATAGCAAGAGGAATATGAAGAAAATTGCTGACCCACATGGGTTTTAGGTGATCGTTATACATTATTTCTTGCGGCGGCAGAGTCCTGATGCCCCAGTCAAGGCCTCAAACCCCTTTGTACTGGAGACTCTAACATGGAGGCAAAATAGAGCCACACCCTGCCCAATGATCCTTTTATTTGAAGTTTTGATAAGGCTGCAGATGACGGAAGCAGGTGTTTGGGTACGTCAGGAAGCAAGCACGTTTTGGCAAGTAGCTTAAGAATCTCAGAAGCCCCAGTTACCAGCTATCTAGCTAATACCAGATACAGAGAAATGCAGAAAGAACTGAACTAAAAGAATTTATTAGGTTGTTTAAAGATAGCTAGGATATGGTATACTGCTGAATAAATGAATGAACAGTTTAACGGAACAAAAAGAACAAGTTGCCTTGCTTTTGCATAGCCCAGTCCAAGAGTTAAAGATGAAACCCAATAAATTTTTTATTTGTTTTGTTTTAGAACGTCAAGCGTGTACATCTATGGCTGGCTCCAGCGTCCTTCCCTCCAACGTGGCTGGTATCAGCAAAGAGCTGATCGAACTGCAGCACCTCATCCAGTTCCCAGAGGAGGTTGCCAGCATTCTGACCGAGCAGGAGCAGGAGCTCTACCGGAAAGTCTTACCCATTGACTACCTCTGCTTTTTAACCAGGGATTTGGGTAATGCTGAATGTCAAAGCAAGCTGACGTCTATTAAAGCTTCCATATCTGCTACTATTCTTTCTTCCCCAAATGGTGAACATAATGCTGTAGAAGATCTAGTGACAAGGTTTAATGAGGTAACACAAAACTTTTAAATTACTTTTCATAAGGGTTATTACCTGATTTGTGGGTTAGTTATTTCCTTTATCTCTCAGAGCTGAATTTAGCTGTAATGACAAATTTTTAAAACATAAGTTAAGATGACCAGAGGATTTAGCTAAATAACTTCCACTGAATTTAATAGGAGTTATGTGACCGATTTGCTCAGTGAGTTTGGAAAACTGCAACCTAAGTTTTTCTTGCACATTGTAAAGTAAACAGGAAGAAAAAAATTACAGACTTGTATTTCTTTGTATTTATAGTGACAGTATGGGGTATACTTTCAGTCAGTTTATTATTTTGTTCAGGAGCTGGAGTTTTATTTATTTGGTTTGGATTTTTGTAGACTAAGCATGATCTTAGGAGTCAGCACAGAAGTATTATAAACTAGAAGTTTCTGTATTCTGTATAATATAACTACACTCATCTGCACTATTTATTTATTTAATTAATTGCTGTGTGTGTCTTGAATGTTGTTATACAAAGAAATGTTATGTAGCATGACACATTTCCATAAGCCAAAGCGTGAGTTCTTTACTAAGATTTTATTTTATTTTTAGTAAGGTGATCTTCTGATGAGTTTAATAAAAAATTGATCAATGATTGAGAAAACTATGGAAAAAATCCACACCAGAAACCTCAAGCTAAAGTCAAACAAACAAACAAACAAAAAACCCTAAATAAAACCTCAGGTTTTAGCTGCAGAAAACTAGAACAATTTCTTTCTTCCTTTTTTGTGTGAACCATATGCAGTGTTAGTTCCTAGATTCATGGAAGTGGGATAAAACTAAGATAGTGTTGACTTATGCTCTTTTAATTTGTTATCCACTGCATTCTTATGCTTTAGTAAGAGATGAAAATTGTGCAGGTATCAAAAGGAGAGCACAAAATTAAGTAAATAGAGAAGAATATGTATTAACCCCTGGTGAGCTTCCTGCTTCCTGGGCAGAATCAGTGACTGAATATTTAGCATCTATCAGTGTGTTCCTGTTTCTTGCATGTTACTGAGATTTAGGAACTAAAGTAGTGTAAATATGTTGGCTTCTCCCACCTAATTCTATTACAGGAATATAAATAAGATTTGCCTCTACAACATTCAGTCTTTATACAGAGCCTCAAAATTGTTTAAATTAGCTCTAGTTATTGTATTTAGGAAAGTACTGTGGCTGGTGCATAGCTGGAGAGGAATCTAGCTCCTGACCCAGCCAGGGTCCTCCTTCCTGCGGTGTTTCTCTTGCGGCGATTACCGTGGTGAGGGCAGTGGGGAAAAAGGTGAGATGGTCAAGCTCTACTATGACTGGTGAGGCACAATGCCAGCACAGTTTGTTAGGACATTTTGTAGTTAGCTGTACAAATTAGATTGACCATTGTGTGTTTTGACACTGAACAGTTACAGGATTGAAGAGTAAGTAGGTAGTGAAGAAGTCGTGTCAGAAATGACTGAGACTATTCCATATCAGTGAGAATTTTAACGTTAAAGTTGCCTTTTGGTAAAATAGTCACCATTATCTTTTAGTGTTAGAGGTTTGTGACTTCGCAGTTTTTGTAGTCTAGCATTACTTGTTTGGTAATGCTACAGGGTAATTTTTAATGTAATTTTAATTAATTCCTGAATATCCGGTGCAAAGATTATATAATATTTAGTGCAGAGGATTATTTTAAGTATAATCCAGAATAACTTTTTTAAAACATAGATGTTAGATGTTTAAATTGAGTTATTGTACAGTATTTACTGCTTCCAATAAATCACTGTTTTGCTATCTGCTTTATCTTATGGTGGAGTATATCAGTTGCCAGAGCCAATCACAAGCGTGAACTTCCAAAATGTCTTTGTTTATAAATGGCAAGAAAATTCTTGTGTGAAGAGTCATGCTTTTGTTGGCAAACGTCAGTGAGCACTTGCAGATTTTTTTTGGCATTGCCTATATAGAAATACTGAAGTGTATTTATAATGTGGGAGCCAGCATGACTTTTAGGATGGAAGGCTTCTGATACATAATGGGAAAAAAATTGTTTCATGCCATTGTTCTGTTAAATGAACAACTATAGTATATAGAGTATTTTTCATAAATCAATATGCTTTTTATTAATTTTTCTGATACTTACTGTATATTAATGAGGAACACTTTATAATGCTTCTTTAAAATTACAGTCAACAAATGCTGTTTTGTTATGCAAAGGAACGTCTTTAATAGAAAAAATACTGGCATTTTAGATTGAATTCTGTCAAAAAATACTGACATTCATAGGTTGAATGAGGAGTATTATAAAATAAATTAATAATTAGAATAATGAGGATTAAAATATTTTCAAATTATTAAAATATCTTTTAAAAAATGAGTTGAAGTGAAATGTAGGGGAAAAAAATAGTCTTATTGAGGTAAATTTTACTAGTCGTATTTACTGTTTAAGTTCCAGTAACTCCAGAAACCCCCGTTCATGACTGAAGTTGCAAACTCCCATTGACTGCAGAGTGCAAGATCAAGCGGGTGGGAAATGTCACATGATTCCCTTATGCTTTAAATATGTTTGCTGTTAAAAAACTGTTGTTTTCTATATGTGAATGATTTAAATATTGTTACTAGCAAGATACATCAAGTACGATATCTTCTAATCATTTGTTTAAACCTTTCTATTTACTATTGGTTAGCGTTGCTTAATATGAATTACAGTATTTAGACCTCAATGGGGTCTTAAGGGTATAGGAAAGACTTACACAGGAGAGGATGCTTATGGTGAGTGGTCAGCCTTAAGCGCTGGGCATGGAAATGGTCTATGAAGAATTGCAGAACTGAATCAGAAATCAGTTGCCCTCTGCAGTAAGTAAAATTGGTACTTGAAGACAATTAACACAGCTGAATGCTGTTTAGCTGCACAAAAAAAAACCTAAAGCTGCTGTTATTTTTCCTACACAATTATCATTTGTGGAAAAGCGTAACAGTGGGCATACTGTCTAGCACTGGATGAAGCCTGTACTGTGCGTTTTTGTGCTGGGTAGTATGTTTTGACTTAAAGTGCTGGAAGTGATTCAGTGTTCACATTAATGCTGATGATCCATCAGGAACACTTCCTAAAATTTTTTTTCAGTAGAAAGGCAAGATGAGAGTAGCTGGAGCATTTGCCAACTTCAATGTTTCATTGTATCTGTAGCTTGTTTTAACATTTTGAGAGTCTTGCAAGATTTCTGAAAATTATTTGGTCTCTTAATTTGACAATGGAAATACATTTTTGTCAAATACTCTTGTTCTGAGATCACAGCGTTGTGAGCCTGACGAGAGGAGCTGAAAAGTGTAAAAAAGGATTTTAAAAATTTCAGAAACCAAGTTAAGAAGCATACAGGGAGAAATCTGCATCACAAGTAACTTAACACACAAGGAGAAAAGTTGTGGTTGGGCCTTACGCCAGAGAGACGTTGCACTGGAGAGGGGTGGGTGAGCCCATTACTTGGCTAGCCAGATATTAACCAGTATCTCAGTGTTACTGAGTGACAGTGCAAAAAATAAGTAGTGATAGGTGGTATAAATGTAGTTTATACCTTGCCTGATAGCTTTGTTTTGTTTTGTTTTGTTTTTTTTAAAGGAGCTGTAGTCCTGCTTGAAAGGCAAGGTAACCAACTTGACTGTTTAGGAGAGCTCCTTTGTTACTCTCTTTGTGGCAAGGTTTCCACAGCCTGCTTACACCTTGCGTGAAGAGCCACCCAATTTGTTTTTAACCTGCAGCAATCTGAACATAGTTGGTCATAATGTGAGTGTCTGCTCGGGGTGTCAGTGGACTGAGTCCTCTTGTATTACGGAAGAGGCACAACTTGTTTACCTCTGGGAGCTGTGATAACCATTCACCTTGCTCTGTTTTGTGAGTGCTTTGACCTTAAACTTAGGGGTACAGCAAGGAACTGTATCCCAGTTTGCAACTGGAGATACCTTTATTTGTCAGATACTGGGTGAAACTAGTAACTGAGTGGCTTTTGTTTCTGAGAGATGAAGATCTTCAAAAAATAAACAACAAAGGCTGGAGAAATAGATTACCTTTATTAATATTCATGAAAGATGGAAATTATAGCACTCTAGACCCTCTTTGTGTATACATTGTTTCTTTTCACTGTCAAGCATGATGGGGGGAAAAAACTGTAGTATTGTAAGTAGCGTAGAAACATGAAAGGTGGATAGTACGGATGAAAGCTACAGCCAAGCACTCCACAAATTGTAGTGCAGACATGCAGCTGTCAATCCTGCGCGGCCGAGGCTGGGAAACAGAAACTGCCTTTGTTTAAGACAGAGTGGTTATGGCTTAGACCTGACATACAGTTACTAGAGGGGATTCAGGCATTATGTATTTCCCTGTGTCTTTTCTTGTCCTGGGTTTCTAAGTATCAGTTTATTCCCTGTTGTGTTAATCAAGGTGGCTGCCATGACAAGGAGCTTGAACACCCAATGACTTGTTTCAGAAATGCGTTGTGAGAAAGGTCAGTCATGAATGATCTGCTTGAAGCCCACAAAATGGGATGGAATACATTCTTGGATTGTATTTCATTTGTATTTTAAAACTTCTGGATCACTCCAGCTCTCAAGTCGGTACAGAAATTCACAGGGAAATACAATATTCAGAGGAAAATAAGAATCTTATAATCTGCTAATGTTGCAGATTGTCTGCAGGATTTACTGCCTCTGATGGAGTTTTCAGACAGATGGAAGTTCATATGACATAGCCCAGTCACTAAAGATCTGTAACGTTTACATGTATAGACATGTATTTTCAGGCTTCACTTCCCGAGAGGTACTATAGAAAGATGATAGTCGTGGTGGAGACTGCCACTGAAGTTTAAATAACTTCTATAATGCTGCTATAGAAAGCCTGATCACTACCATTTAAGAAACTGAAGTTAAATTTCAAAATAATCAAAGAATTTGAGGACTTTTCAACATGTGGAGTAGATGCAGTAGACTTGAAAAAGGAAAGGTTAGAACTGCTGGATAACCAC